CGATCAGGGCTTAATCTGATCATCATCAGGTAAGTTCGGAATTAATAAATAAATAGCTAGATCGTTTTGTGTTTATATTGTGGTATCGTAGTGGTTGGTCATGTATGATTATGAATCAAAGATGATTTTAAAGTGGTTTAATATCTGAAATAAAATAAAAGTTGAATTAGTAGCATAGTAATCGGTAGTTGTACATTGTCAGAAGGATTTAGATTTCACAGGCTTTTTTTAATTGAATTAACTGTATGGTTTTGCGTGTTATGGGATTTTTACTTTTTAATAGTAGGGTTAGATCGGATTGAAGATGAAAACCTAAAAGAAATTTCCTAAATAAATTATAGTTATACTTACTGAAATATGTATAAAGCGTAGGTTCTTGTTGGAAGATACTGTTTGAATTTAACTGTGTTATTGTTATTGTGTCGGATGAAGAAGTGACGAGAATGACTGCGAAGCAAGTGTTTATATAGAGAGATGGTCGCTCCCTAGATGGTTGATGTTTCGACATCTATGACGAAGCATTATTTAATAACAGTAGACCTGGATATGTCTGTGACCGATGACTGACCTCTATTACGCAACATTATTTTATCACAATAGGCCTCGATATATCTGTGACCGATGACTGACCTCTATTACGCAATATTATTTAATAACGATAAGCCTGGATATGTCTGTGACTGATGACTGACCTATATGAAGAACTATTCGTTAATAACGATAGACCTGGATAGGTCTACGATATATCAGGTCTTACTGATGACAAATAGTCGTACGTTTATTCCATGTATGATTACCTTTTTCGTTTACAAATTTAATTGAATGATTAATTGATCTTATTGTACCATTTTATAATCGACAGTATCGTGTAGTAAATATCTAAAATATGATCAGAAATTAAAACAAAACTAGTAGTGGAGAAAGAAATGTTTAGTTAGACATTCCATGTTCTCATTTTGACATGGAATGTATCCTAGTTCTAGTTTATTAATATACACAAATGAAACACATGGAACAAATCAGCTAACAAAAAAACAAAAGTTAATAAATTTAAAAACATATCTGGATTACTATAAACAAAACTACAAGTTTAGTTACAATGTCAATGATAATAATTATCAATTGCATCTTCAAATTCAATGTCATCAAGTATTAAATTTTCTAAATCATCACAACAGTCTTCTGAATTCGCATATGTATCATCAGTTTCAGGATCGAAATAAGATTCTTCATCAGAATCATGATTGATACTAAAATAATCACGTACATCAGTATACAAGTCAACATTATTAAAACTTGAATTAAATGCATTTAAATTTGTAGCTAAACGTTCACGAATATGAATATCGATATTTAACTGATTAATACGATCACGTAGCATTGTAATAAAACCACTTTCAATTGTATGACGATGATTTAAAATATACATTCTATGTTCATATGTTAGATCTTGATCAAAAAACAATTCATTTTGTACAGTATTCAAAATTTCAATACATTCGGCTTGAAGATTTGTACTAATATTATTATTATTAATATAACATGAGAGAATGAAATTATTTGGTAATGATTTGATTTGAGACATGGTGAAAATGAATTTGTTTTATAAGTAAACGAAGATAAATGAAAACTAATTATAATAATTCTTTTCTTTTCTTTTTCATTTTGTTTATAACGGTTTTCTGTCTGGCTAAATTCAAATTCATCCAGGCTAACGGTTTTTTTTCTTTTTTATTCTATCTATAACGATTTTTTGTCTAGTGAAATTCAAATTAATTCAGGCTAACGGTTTTTCTTTTTCGTTCTGTCTATAACGATTTTCTGTCTGGCTAACGTATTACATCGATCTAGGGTATTTTTTTATTCGTTTTTATTATGATGGTAACGATTTTCTGTCTATTGCATTTTAAATTCATTTATTGTAGTTTTCGAGGATCAATATATTTTTATAAAATGATTCCTATATCTACTTACAACGGATTTCGATCCTTGTCTAAGGAACTGATTGGATATATTCTGAATCTATAACGATTCAAAATCACTCGATTAATTTATAACATGTTGTTGATCAGTTGGTTGTATATTAAAAAGTCAAAAATGATAAAGAAAGCAGTGAATGTAGATTGACTAATGGGGTTGTAAGAAATCTATGATATTTTGTAGAAAACCAAGAGATAAAATGAAAATCAACTTACAGACTGATAGTATATAAATGGTTTTTTTTCGAGACAGTACATGGAAGCTAGAGACGATGATATTCTAATTGGTTTGTATGGTAGTCGTTGCATTTGTTTCTTTTTATAATATAGGTTGGGTTGCAATTTATTATGTGTTTTAAATAAAAATATTTCAATCTGAAATAAAGAGGAATATTATTCATTGAAATATACAAATGAATATATTTTATGCTAAAGATTTATCCAATGAAAATGACAAACTAGAAGTGAATTTTTTTACATAGAGTTAGTGTTAAACTTCAAAGTGATATTGAAAAAAAAGTTTATATTTATATTTATAATGTATTGTGATGTCTTATCGTTCAAGATCTTGGTTCCATTTTGGTTAACATTGCTCGTGGAGGTTTTTTATGTATGAAGAAAGTTTCAAGTGTACGACCAGTAATAGGAATTAGTCGTACTTTAATTTGTTCAAGTGGTGATCCGGAAAATGCATAATATGTTCTCCACCAATTTGTGAATTCTTGTCGAAAGCTGACTGTCAATGAAGTATCAAATAAATAACGTGGATACATTATTTCTTTGTTCCATATTTTTGGTTGTAATACCAATGGTGTTTTAATTGGATCTTCCATCATTGCTTGAAATTTTTTCTCACGAAGTGTTGGTTGATATAATAAATTGTGATGTAAACGAGAGTAAACCTGCTCATTTATTTGTTGTAATATATGTAATGCATCATTTAGATGAAAGAATCTATTGAATTGTTGAGTAATAAAGTGTGCTGGATAACCATTTAATAATAATGATAGATCAATACGAATACATGCTGAATTGAAATCATTTACATGTGAGCAGATACGAGCGGCACGTAATAATGCTGCATAGACAATGTTTCGATGCATATGACGTGGATGATCTGATTTATATGGTAAAATATAAGGTTCAGCAGTTGGTTTATGAAACATATATGTTCTTAATTGACCATTTTCATTTGTGATAGTTACATCGAGATAATGAACAGATTTGCTTATTGTAGGTTCAATTTTGATATTAATATCTTTGTGTTTTGCTTTTTCAAGTTCAATATTAATGTCGTCCATGGTTTTATTTGTTGTCATAAAAATATCATCGATATATCTACACAAATGACAAGATTATATGGTTTTATAAATATTATAATTAGTTTACGAACCTTCCATAGACTTCATGATGTTCTATTTGATGTTGAATTAAATCTTGTTCCCATTCCATGAGATATATGTTTGCTAAAACTTGTGTAAATGCTGAGCCCATAGCTCC